TTTGAATTGTTGTAAGATACTGGTAGTGATCTATTTTAACTTGTTTAATTACGGTAAATCATGGATTGTTGTGTTATTTTAAATATTATAGGCAACGGCTTATCATGACCTTATATGGTAATGCTGCACTGTTATTCTACATTTTGTTATTGGCATATCAATATCTGAATAGTCTATTGATTTCGTATGAGAAGCTAAGGAAGATTAATAAGTTTATTAAAATTATGCTGTGTGTTTCATTGATATGTTTAAACATAATACACAAAGAGAAATAAACTTTATATTAATTTTAAACGATGTTTTTATGATTGCGGGCTCTGGTTTCGAGATTGATTTCAGATACGGTAGAGCACCTAGTCCCCAGGCCTTTACCGGCGCAACCGCGAAATTCAATATGGCGCCCAAGCTAAGGAGTGGAGTTTAATGGAGTTTATATTCTATATTTTCTATTGTTGTTTTTTGACGTTTTTCTTCTTTTTGGTTGGTAGAACTTATATTCTGAAATGCCAGGTATCTTACTCTTTATCTGAAAAAATATTTTATGTCAGAATTTTTCTCAAAGATAGTGAAAGTTAATGTAAGTCTTAATATCTGTACGGATACTGAGTGAGTGATGGTTGTGACTGAGTTGTTCATTTAACAATGAAATCAATTTATACTATTTTTCTCAAGTTACGTTGGCAAGCTACGATTAAATAATTAGTTCGCTTGATGAAGATGATATTATTTAAACAGGATAATACATGCCAAATATGTGGTCACAATGCATTGACAGCATTCTGTTAGCAGTTTTAAAAAGTTAATTAAACTGCCAGACGTACGATATTTTATCATACAAATTACAAAATAAAGTGCTATAACTGTAGCTATAATCGTTTGTAGATTGTACATGTACTATATATCTATTGTAGAATTTAACTACAATGAACACATAGACCTCCACTGGTCCGTGATGGGAAAGGGGTTGAAACAATCGCAGAACAAATCTGCAATTGAAAGACAATTTATTTGTCGACAACCCCTACTATTAATACAAGTATAAACATGAGGATTTTGCTTACACATTACTGTACATCATAAATAATTATATGAATTATATATTTAAAATTTCTACATGTCAAATTGAAAAATTCCGACATATAATAACTTAGACACGTGCTTTAGAAGTAGTATTTTCAAAAATCAGCATAAATGCAATGATGCTGATAAAATATAAGGACAGATAAAATCAACTTAAAAATTTAAAAACTGTATTTTAATAATAAAGTATACATACAATTTGTACACTTAATGCATAGCCTTGCCAGTCAGGTTCATAATCAAATTAAAGTTGTCATCTTTTTCATCCAATAATGAGTCCATTTTTGGCTATAATTTATGTATCATTATAGGCTATAATTTATGTATAATTTAGGATTCCTGTCAATATTAAATCTACTTTAGGGATCTATCATAAATAGCCAATCTTTGATTGTGATTCATCTTTCATCTTTTCTTGTCAATTTTTATACGTCTTCGAAAGACAAGATTGGAAAAATTAAGTAGATTGCCGCTGCCAGTAGGGAAACGAAATTGTAAGAAGAATATTTGTGTTTATATATCTTTTGTTTCATATTATCTATTGACTTGCCTTCGCGACGTTTGCTTGCCCAGATCACATGCAGTGGCCCCCGGATCATTAAGTTACAAATTACGTAATCTCCAAGATTTGTGACGTCACGCAATCAGAGTTTGCCAGGGTCTCAACACGGGGACCCTGGGTACGAGGTTGTGTACCTCCTCCCCTATAAACCCAACATGCTGGGATGGATTTACTGGGGGAAATGCACCCCCTAGCCCTAGCCAGGGGGGTGCTATTTTTCATGATAAAGCAAAAAGATATTAGAGACAAAATGAGATACAAGATACATAATTACAATTCAAATACAGTAGTCAAGCAAGACTTGACTTGCAAGTTGATGGGTGGGCGGCGCACATGACCAACATAACTCGGCATTAGAGCTGGCAGATCAACCCCCCACCCCCTACCAGATCATGCTGGATCCATCCCTGCCACCATGACTGTTATTGTTGGTGCTAATTAAACAGTGCGATCTTGAACGGTCTGTGTCAGGCTAGATAGAGACGATAACAAGATAACTGCAGATTTCGAGAGATAGAACATAGTACCTGAAAAATTCAAGCAGAACTTCACTCAAAAAGTCAATAATTTGTACATTCCGCATGGATTTTCATGCTCTGTGGATTATATGGAATATAAACTAGGCTGTTATTACAATTTTCAGAATTGAACTTGAAACTATAATTAACAAAAGTTCAGTGTCAAAAATTTCTTATCTTGGCCAATCTATTTTTTACTTTTAAAGCATAATTCACTGAAACATACAGATATTTTAAAATATTATATACATTCACTTTAACTATGTTTGAGAAATATTTTGTCATAAAATCTTTTTTCAGATGAAGAGTAAGATACCTGGCATTTCAGAATATAAGTTGAACCAACCATCAAGAAGAAATACGTCAAGAAACAACAATAGAAAATATAGAATATAAACTCCATTAAACTCCACTCCTTAGCTTGGGCGCCATATTGAATTTCGCGGTCGCGTCGGTAAAGGCCTGGGGACTAGGTGCACTACCGTATCTGTAACCGTTCGGAAACTTATTATATTTATCACAAAATTACTGCAATCTGATTGGTTAAGAGGAGTGCAATTATTTCTTTCCTTTGTTGCATTCTGGAGTGCAATTTTAATTTTCGTGATGCCCGGGGGGGCATAGAGATTATAAATAACACTAGAGGGGGCATCGTAATCTTAGTTCAGTCAAAAAATGCGAACGCGGCTATTGGCGGGCAAAAAATTAAAATTCTAAAATAAGAGGCAAGAGTTTAACTGCCCAAATCTCTAAATTCATGTTAATGGCAGTTAAGTAGTCCCAAGCATTTTTTACCAAGCATTTTTACCACAGTTTTGTCTATAATACATTTTTGAGAGCGCTCCAAAATAATACTGATGTCAGGCAATTTTGATCTTTTCAAGAGGAATTAATCGTTAGGGACCGGTCATTATTTATGGCGGGGGGTGGCACAGAAGAGAAAAAGGTTGGGTAAATAAAATTTTGAGTAAGTAAATTAAAAGGTTGGGTAAATGAAAAACAAAACAACTCAAGGGTTGGGTAATAAAAATTTATTGTCATTTCCAAAGCATGACCCACTGAAATATTGGAGACTGAAAAGCAATGTCAACAGTCATTTGTCAATACAATATGTGAATCAATCAGAGTCACTATCTTGATCATAGTTTGACAAAACAGATTGTGTTTCCAAAGAAAGTACATGTGCAGACAACATGAAACTTTAGACTGCAGAAAATTTCACAAGCCGTTATCAAACTCATGTCACTGAAGTGATAAAGGACATGTATGACAACTGAATGGTATCCTTTTGTTAAGTTTTTGGCCAGGGGTGGGTAGTTATTTTTAATTCATATTTGAGGTTGGGTAATCAAATTTTTGTCTTTTTAATGGTTGGGTCAGCAAAATTTTTGACACGGAAAACATTTATCTTCGGTGCCACCCCCCGTCATAAATAATGACCGGTCCCTTAGAATTCAAAATTTTGGGGGAATGCTTGTAGTATGCAAAACATATAAAACACCCAGTTTTGGGACTCTTGTTTTAAATTTTTCTGGTTCCAAGTGCAAACCAAGAATTGTGTGGTATTTGTCCGAGATTTTAATTTATCCCCCTTTCCTACGCTCTCAAATTTCACCCTAGGGGGGGGGGAGGGAAGCGGGAAATCAAAAATCCAATATGGCGGCGAAATTTATCTTGTGTAAATAACAAACGTAGACAAATTTACCTAAATTTTGGTACAAGAATGAGTTTAAAAAACATGGCAAAATGAGCCTGTGGAAAATACCTGGAAACAGTTTGAAGAAATAATCTCGGCGGGATGCAGCGAAACGTGACTATGTAAAGTCTGTAAATACAATTTATAAAGATGTTTGAATTGAATCATGTGCTCTAGTTTAAGTTATGTGTCTTTATGAGTTTTTGATCATTTTCCAAGTTTGTTCATGCCAAATTGCTTACAAAAGAATTAAGAGCTTTTCACAAAATGCAGTTGAATTTTAAAGAATAGACAACTTGCATGTTAGACTAATTTTTGATTTAGACAAAAATAAAGTAAATTCCCGTAAAGAACTTATCAAAATCAGTAAAATTGCAAAATTTGTATACGAAATGTTGTAAAATACAGAAAATATAACCTTGCGAAGTTTGATTATTTTCAGTATGTTTGTATTACGTGCGGAAATTGTTACCATTTTTGAGCCGAAAATGGTAACAATTTCCGCACGTAATACAAATATACTGAAAATATGCAAACTTCGCAAGGCTATATTTTCTGTATTTTACAACATTTCGCAACCAACTTTTGCAATTTTACTAATTTCATTACGTTCTTTTTAACTGTTGTGTTTGATTCCCTTCTCTTTACTTAGATTAAAATTATTTTAGTCTAACATGCAAGTTATCCATTGAAAGCAACTTTTTATGCATATTATAAATAAATAAATAATCACCGGCAAGTCGTGCAATTAATGATTAACACTACTCGTGACATTTGAAAAATGTGCCATCATTAACATCACTCGTGGTGTTAATCATTAATTGCACTCATTCCCGTGTGATTACCTATACTCTCTATACTAATTGTTCTTTAATTAAGCAATTTTGTGCATATTCAAATGATGATTCAACAGTTCAATACTTGATATGCATATTTCTCCTGTCTCAGCTACGTGTTGAAATTCAACTGCAATTTTTTTATCTCGCAAGTCTCTGAATCAGCTGCAGAATCAGAATATTGAATTTTTCGGGAATCAAACCTCAGTCACAGAACGTATACATAAGGACTGGGCTACCAACATACACCCTGACAACAACACGCCTTTTGTATAGTGAAGAATCTATATGTTCCTTAATTTTTACAGATGATGTGCAAACCAAACAAGTACCTGATATCCCATACAATGAACTAAATATCAAAGACAAGGAACTCCTGAACAAATTAAAGAAATATGAAATTGTCCATCCTGAAGATATAACACCTATTGCCAATGAATTCCCAGATTTTTATCGCCAGGTAAATAATTTTGCTGTGGCTGTTATTTTCTTTGTCATGCATGTGATAGTTCATTATACAATTACTTTATGGGAATGTTGCTCGAGTTAAGAAAAGCGCTCAAAATCACTCGCCTTCGGCTCGTGTTTCGCGCCCTTTTCTTAACTCTCGCAACATGCCCGCGTGTTTGGATCAGGCCATCCAAACGCGGAAACCATAAAGCAATTGTTTTATAAAATAACAACTTTCTGTGTTAAAATTTCACTTTAAAAAACTTTCACTTCAAATTTCTGTGTTTGGATGGCCTGATCCAAACACAGGTTTCTACCAATCAGAGCACGCGTTACATATGTGTTATTTTATAATTAAATTTGGTCTTTGTTATAAAATATTTCTTGTTTGTTCGTAAAAAAGGATTTAGGAATAATAAAAGAATTATGTTTTTGATGTTACAGGATGAGACAGTTGAGAGAAGTATATCTTTCTTGCTTAATGGGAATGTGGTAGTCCTTGACCTTGTTCCAAACAGGTATGACATTTTATTTCTTTTGTATCTAAAGTGCTAAATTGATGAGCTCTAAGACTTTTCATCTTTTATATATTAGCCAGTAGCTCGCCATAATAGATCCCGCTTGTACTGAACTGAATATATTTATTGCTATTGACAGAAACTTGGTTTCACCTCGATACAAGGAGAGGCATTACCTTTCTGATGGAGACACTGTTTTGAGAAAGGTTTGCTTAAAACTGTAAATTCTTAGATGGAGAATTAGGTAGATATTTAATGCTCATGGTGTTTATTCTTCTTGTTGTAGCGAACACATGACTGTTTTTTCCACGGTCATGTAAGGAGTGAAGAGAATTCAAATCTTGCTTTGACCACATGTGAAGGTTTTCAGTAAGTTGATTTTTTACTGCTTTTATTATAATTAAACTAGATATTTCTTCCGTTTCCAAACTGATAATTCTTGTTGTTGACACCCAATAAAAGTGATTTGTTATTGACCAGTGTTACTGCAGCCGAGAACTTAAACTAATCTTACTTTATTTATTTATTTATTTATTTATGTATTATACTGGCTATTTGCATATCACTTCTCCCTAGGCCACACCTTATTTGTGGTTTGTTTTTGTAGTGGGTACTTCAGAAGAAATGACAAGACTTTCTTTATTCAACCATTATTTGACCAGAGTCAGAAGGTATAAGTTAGTTAATAATGCATGATGCCAAATGTTTAATTAATGACACGTACTAATTTTACTTTTACTGTAGTTACGTTGATGTGGAAAATGATTTATCATTTGTAATTTTTCAGAGGGTGGCTCATGTCGTCTATAGTCCGAATGATGTTACAGGAGAGAAATTTCAATGTCGTAAGTTAAAAGATATCTTGATTTCATTATTTTAATTCAATTTAATATATTGATCACTCTGGTCGACAGAAATCCGAAGCAGGTTTTACGTACAACCCAGCATATCAAACTCTCCGTGTACAAAAAGTCTTATCGTGTTACAGACAAGTATACCCCCAACGGCGCGCTATATAAATTCATGCAAAATATGCAGTTTTTTCGCCTGTGTGCTTTGTAAGTTAAACAAAGTACATTTTCTGAAACGGAATATAAAATTTGGACGCATTCTACGTCTTCTGCAACGATTTTGACAAAGATACGTTGCAATCCGGAGTCGGACTCGGGGGGTTGAAGTCGCGCGCTATACTAAGAATATATATAAAAAATTGCCGTGTAGAGCGGAAGTGGGAAGAAAACTGGCTCTAGTGCTTCCACTGTTGTACATAACTTCACTTTC